ATGTAGGCATTTGTTTATCTCACAAGATAAAGGTATTACCTTGTTTGGACAACACATTCTAAGTACTATACTAATAGTTTCTTTTCTCACACATCTCACTTATAGAACTACCTTCCAGTTTCTTCCTTCCCTGGCACCTACAATTAGTAGTGGACCTACGTTTTTGGAGTCTGAAGCTTAAACAGAAAAGGAGGCTCTTCGCAAACAGCAACCTATCAATGAATGTTAATAGATTATAATGACTCAATAAGTCCATACAGTTGGAGTTTGGGCACTGCAAAAATTTTTTAAATTTAACCAATTACAGGGGGATTTTGAGGTTATAAGAAATTAGACTAAAGCCGACATTAGATACTTCAACCCGATGGCTTATCATTCTGTCACTAAAATAGTTTTATGTTAATGACAAACACAAAAAAAAAACATTGATTTTGTTGAAAAATTCATTCATTATAAAAAGTTGCTTCAGAGGCCTCTCTGAAATAATGAAGCCTTGAAGCTTAAGTTTTAATTTTGTAGTAGATTTGCCACTGCCTACAATCTTCAAAAAATTAAATGCTTGAACAATTGCCATCTTCTGTCTTCCTAAAACCTTCTATTTTATTGTCTTTTCTCTTCACTAAAATCTTTTCATTCTCTTTTGCTCCCAGTAACTCCCTTTGTTCTAGTGGCTTGATTGCCTTGTTTGGGATGAAATGTTTTAAAAAAGAAAAGAAAATGTATATGCATATATATTTATATGAGTAATTAATAGTTTTTAATTCAATGTTATTTCTTATTGCTATAAACGACTTATTTAGCAGATACATATGTTTGAATAAACATCTTTTCTTTTTTTAAACAGTAAAATTAATATATTCTTACCTAGATATCAATAAAGAAAATATACCTCTCAATAGATGAAAGGTAATCTTCTTCTATGTGCCATTTCTCTTCAGGATGTGGATGATCATGGCTCTCCACAACTGTGTCATCTGCATATCTTGTTAAGATTCTGGCCACCAATAATGATGCTTGATAGTGTAGTGATCACTTACATGTGCCACACCTCCACTTTCTTTAATGTCATTGGTTCGTAAATATATGATACTTATTATATGACAATTTTGCCATCGCACATCAATTTGAATTTTTCTCTAAAATCACAGATTGGTCCATTTCCTAACCAATCGCGTATTTTACTATCTTTCTATATTTTTGGCGCCAAGCTCACTGGAGCCTATGCATAACTATATAAACTCTCTCGCTGTTAGCCAACAGTAGTAGCAGTTCAATTCTTGGAAAATACGGCATGGCGCATATTTCTTGTGACATTTTAATTCTTAGTTATTACTCATTCAAGTAATCTTACTAATTTCTATTGATATCACTCGTGTACATTACATCTTTCCACACTCATAACAGACTGTGGAATTATTCTTTATTTAGCTAAGATCTTAATTGAACTTTGTAGTTAAATAACATTCAACATTGTACTCAACATTAATTAGCTAAACTTACCCTTTTTATTACAGAAAAAGGGAAGCAACTTTCTTTATACTTATTGTTGATATTTGTATATCATTGTTAATACAATATTTTATTAATGTTCACTGAGCTTGATTTATTTCTCTCGTGTATGTTGTGCATAATTCATGTGGGGTGTTGTTTACAAGAACACAGCTTTCCTTCTTGATTATATTCACAGTGACCCTAGCCAACAATTCTTACAGCACCACTACAATAGGATTTTTAGTTCTCCCAGGATTGCTTTATTGTAAAGGTTAAATTAGTCAGATAACAAGGCACGTACTTATAAAACACCCCTTTCTATTTTTCCCTATTTATTGAATTCATTTTCTATCCAGATGCAGGTGGAACAAATAATAGCACAATTTCTGCCAAGATGTAAATTTTTTTAATAAGTCTTTTAATATCTAGGCTGGTAGATATTCATTTCACTTTAAAAAAAAAAACGGATGTCTATACTCAAAGATATGTATCCACTAAATATAATATTGTATTTATAGTAATAAGATTATATATATATATATACAAATGATAGAAATTATTAGGAGGATTTGATAATTATATTTAAGTAATTCATCGAGTCTGAAAGAAACCTCAACAGAATGCTTTCTGCATTATATATATATATATATTTATATATATATATATATAATTATTTATTTAAAAATATGATTCCAACACGCTACATAAGAGTTCTCATGTTTCAAAATAAGAGCCGAAAACTTCAATATAAGTATTTGAATTAAATTGAATTAAAGTACTACAAGCAAAATTTTTTTTTTTTTGGAATAACTTATTTCTGAAATTTACGTGTTTTATAAGCATATTCATTATTGAAATCAAAATTTCTATGATAACGGCTAGAGCAATTGTTTAAAGAAAAAGGGGCATAAGGTGTTAATTTGTATCAATATCTCAGTTACATTCACAGATGTCAAGTCAGGGTAAGGTTGGAGTGTCTAAATTTAAAGTGGAAGATGACATCGCCAATCTGGTTAAGTGTCTATGGAGATTTATTTATTTTTTTATTTTGTTTTTTATTTTTTTCTGAAAGGGTTTTGTGTATATAAAAACTGTCGTAAATCACTAACGACTTCATAAAGGGTTATCTTTTTTTGTAGGGCATTTAAACTATTTATTTGGACTATGGATTTTAAAAATTATTTTATTGTTCGTTTTTTTATGCTAATTATTCAATGCAAAAATTTGATGATGTCGGCAAACAACCGTTAACTCATGCCTATTGTTTAATAGATTTTTATTATTTAGAAACTTAATAATGTGTAGATTTTCATGTAGGCATAAAGGGCATGGGTCATCGCAAGTTTTATAAGTTCTAGTTTTATTTATAATTTTCCATTTTACTTTTGGTGTTTTATTCATTTCTTTCAAATGCCAAAAATATTTAGATAGAGATGTCTGATTTCTTTTATTTATATTGTTGAAAGAGCACTTATGCTGCCTCCATATATATATATATATATCCAAGTATATAATTGGTATATACGGAATGAATTCCAATAACCAACAATTACTATTCTTAAAAGAGTGCTCAATACAAAGTAGAGCAGATATAATTATTATTTATAAAAAAAATTATAATATAAGTATGTTATAAAATCACTACAAAAATAGCCAATGGCTATTTTTGTAGTGATTTTATAACATATATATATATCTATATATCTTATAAAACTTGCGATGACCCATATATATATATATATATATCTATATCTATATCTATATATATATATATATATATATATATATGCATATTTAAATAAGTTTTTTATGGTACAAAACTTAACGATAGCTAGGAAATAGTAAAATTTATATGGCATTTTAAAAACTAAAAAAGGACAACTCGTTTTGTCCCAGCCTTATCAAATTTATTTTCTGGGATATAAAAAAAATATAAGCATGTAAATTAAATTAATATAACGAATGGAAAAAAAAAAAATTTCAAGAAAGCTAGAGTCCAATAACATTCTTTGCACCTTATCACCAGAACTTCCCTTTGGTAAGGTGTGAGCAAATTACAATTCCTAAAATACGGACCAAAATGGAAAATATTAAAAAAAAACTAGAACTTGTAAATCCTTAAATGATCTATGTTCTCTGTGTTTACAAGAAAAATTGCATCTTATTAAGTATATTATTGGTATCCACAATCTTAACAACATAAGGCAGTGGTCTCCAAACAGCAAGGTGTGCCTCATAGGTGTGGTGGAAGAGGATAGCAGGTGAGGTGGAAGAATTGAAAGACAATCAAAGATTTAGAAACAGTTTAAAAAAATTCATATAATAAAAATAAATTATTTCAAAATTTAAAATATTATTATGGATTATTTGTAATTGCATGTATGGATCCCAATATAAATAGTAATAAATAATTAATGACAAATTTTATTTATGTGATATTTTTGTGTTATATCAAGTATTAAGAATCAGTAACTAGGATACACAAATGGGAAGAAAGAGTTTGATAATGTTCTGGCTTCGAATCTGCGGTTATCTCCCTTCAACCCTCTCTCTGTTTTTTTGTTATTTTTACGTGTATTTTTTATCACATAAAATTTGGTGATGCATGAGAAGATTTTCATTCCAAAAATGTAATCTAGAGAAAAACTTTGGGAACCACTGAATTAGTCATGACAATGTCAAATGAAGTCTGTAAGTATTTCTTCTTTAATAAGTGTGTATAAGGCTAAATTTTGTCAGTGTGTCCATACCATACATCAGTTGAACAAAATAATCCAATATTTATGTCTCTACAGTGGCAGGATATGACACATTTTCATTTTTTAATGTGGGGTGCCTATGCACGTACACATGAGTCAAGGGCAAACATTGTCCAGTTCCATCTACCACTGGCACACTAGTGTCAGTATTTCACTAATCCTTCTTCTTTTGTATAATGAGGGAGGTACTGCTGCAGGTAGGAATCTGTGAGACCAGGCATTCTTCAAAGCTTTCCTGTGAACGGAAATATGGGAGGGAGGCAAAGGACAGCTACTGCATATATGTTATATGTTTGAGAGTGCATTGGCATCTCTGATGTGAACTTGTGGATGGAATGAACGATGAAACCATAATACCAGACAGTAACATCAATCTCGAGCCGAATCCTTCATTAAATCCCTCGGATATACGACCCAATGAAGTGGGATGGAAGACCACAGGACCAAACAATAGAGTAGCCACAATTATCACTGAAGATCTGTCACCTGGAGGTGCAATTAAATTGATCACCTCCTGAGAACGTCAAAAGAATATATTATCGAACTTAACCAAACCGACACAGGTAATATACATGTTGATTTTATCTAAAATATATTATGTCATGTTTCATGCTCCGTTTGCCATAAATTCATCGCTTGCATTTAGTACGCATGTCTAAACATAAATAACAGTGGCTTGACGAGAAATACACACCCATTTCAATTTTAGTCATGTGATTTCTGAAATAAATAATGACGTTTTTCTTACAGCCTTCGGGAGGAATATATCCAACCGCAGGTACCACACCGGCGGCGGGCGGGGTGTCTGGTGTAGGAACCACACCAGCAGCTCTTCTTACACCTTCTCCAATTAAAATAACTGCACCGCCTAATAAACCCGTCGACATTCCACCTGGTACAGATAACACTGTGGTCAAAATTACAATTGTACCTGAAGATGTTTCACAGCCAGTTGTAGTGAAAGTGTCCATCAAAATCTGCGTGAAGAAATCAAGTTAGAGTAGTTGCATTTCACCTTCTATTCAAACATATCTCTCTATTGCTCTGTGTACATTAGCCCTGTCGATATTTTTATCTATTGCTCAATATCTCAACCATTTGTAAACACAACCCCTTCTCATTACCATGCGCTTTCTTCTGGGCCCCACAAATTCATTTCTTTTCAGGATATCATTCTTTATTTTCTGTATATAATTTCATGACATTTTCACCAAGCAATAGACAATATTATTTTCACATACAAATGTCGCATAGCTTTTAAGAAACATCAACGATCATTTATTTCTTTGCGATTAGGCTAGAATTAAGAGAGTGCAATCTTGCTCTATTAATTGCAATGTATTTCTTCTGGAATGAACTTTTCACTTTAACTCACTTTTTTCACTCATCACTTATCACATATTTCCTAAATGTTCATTTTCCCAAAATGCCCGTCTTCTTTCAATTGTTTCTATAAGACATTTATTCCCAGTTGACAATAACGGATTTGGGATGTATTCATTTCCTTTTCGCACTATTAAATACACTTAACATGCTTTCTCCTTCCTTCCGACTGATAAGATGAAACAGCTGCATCATTTATTCCAATGTTGTCTTCTGGAAGCATGCCAACCTTTAGCATCGCTTTTGAAAACTCAACTAAACGTCATAATTCCTAGATATGTATCTCCTTTCTATTGAGTTTAGGAGCACATCAAATTTTGAAACATTTCATGTATAAGCATCTTGATGTAATGGACAAGTACGTCATTTTCAAACTTTTTAACGGAGACACATAAAAGTAACCTCGGCAATTGCATAATTGGATAGAGGCTCAGTTGTTCACCTTCTGTAAATGTTTATGTAAGGGAATTTGCAGAAAATTTATATGAAAATGCGTCCATCTTCAATTAGTCCGGCGGCTTCATTCGACATGAAAATGCATTACGAGACAATAGTTACGTTATCATTTGAAACAGTACCAATGAATTCATTCAAAGTGGGCGCAGATCATCTATTCGGCTTGAAATCCATTTACATCTATTTACTGGAATCACATTTATTTTGATTTGGCTTTACACTGATCATACATGTATGCCTTAATTCCAATCCATTGCATATATTTCTCATTTCACAGCATATATGCAGTATGTAGAAAATATTCATACATGCACTAATGATAGATTTCTTTTCATTGTGCTATAGCAACGATGCAACCGCCAACAACAACTGTCACTCCTTTGGTAACTTCGGTAAAAACTGTATATGTTAACTGTGCCGACAACACCAACGCCAACATTGTCCACTACACAACAAGTTTCTGCTATCACAACACCCGGTGAGTTATTATTTCTGATTGGTATGTGTCATACAAACTGAAATTATAATCAATTATAATGACGAATTTCACTAGACACCAAAGTTTGATACGACTTCTTCATTTGTGGTCTAGCGACTGAAATTGCCATTGACTAATTTCTGTTATGTTTGCTAATCTTTGTATGAATTCACAAGCATTATATTCCTTCGCGTTTCATGTGCCGACACAGATATATCTATATATTAGGAAACGTTGCTCACCAACATGTTGGAGATATCCCGCTAATATATGTTATATGTTTGTGCATTGGCAGCGTTAGATGTGAACTTGTGGATGGAATGAACGATGAAACCATAATACCAGACAGTAACATCAATCTCGAGCCGAATCCTTCATTAAATCCCTCGGATATACGACCCAATGAAGTGGGATGGAAGACCACAGGACCAAACAATAGAGAGTAGCCATAATTATCACTGAAGATCTGTCACCTGGAGGTGCAATTAAATTGATCACTCCTGAGAACGTCAAAGAATATATTATCGAACTAACCAAACCGACACAGGTAATATACATGTTGATTTTATCTAAAAATATTATGTCATGTTTCATGCATCCGTTTGCCATAAATTCATCGCTTGCATTTAGTACGCATGTCTAAACATAAATAACAGTGGCTTGACGAGAAATACACACCCATTTCAATTTTGTCATGTGATTTCTGAAATAAATAATGACGTTTTCTTCTATAGCCTTCGGGAGGAATACCTTCATCTTCCGCAGGTACCACACCGGCGGCGGGCGGGGTGTCTGGTATATTTAACCACACCAGCAGCTCTTCTTCACCTTCTCCAATTAAAATAACTGCACCGCCTAATAAACCCGTCGACATTCCACCTGGTACAGATAACACTGTGGTCAAATATTACAATTTAAACCTGAAGATGTTTCACAGCCAGTTGTATGTTAAAGTGTCCATCAAAATTCATCTGAAGAAATCAAGTTAGAGTGGTTGCATTTCTTAATCTATTCAAACATATCTCTCTCCGGGTGCTCTGTGTATATTAGCCCTGTCGATATTTTTAATATATTGCTCAATATCTCAACCATTTGTAAACACAACCCCTTCTCATTACCATGCGCTTTCTTCTGGGCCCCACAAATTCATTTCTTTTCAGGATATCATTCTTTATTTTCTGTATATAATTTCATGACATTTTCACCAATGCAATAGACAATATTATTTCATTCAAATGTCGTATATGTTTTTTAGAAACATCAACGATCATTTATTTCTTTGCGATTAGGCTAGAATTAAGAGATTCAATCTTGCTCTATTAATTGCAATGTATTTCTTCTGGAATGAACTTTTCACTTTAACTCACTTTTTTATGTCATCACTTATCACATATTTCCTAAATGTTCATTTTCCCAAAATGCCCGTCTTCTTTCAATTGTTTCTATAAGACATTTATTCCCAGTTGACAATAACGGATTTGGGATGTATTCATTTCCTTTTCGCACTATTAAATATACTTAACATGCTTTCTCCTTCCTTCCGACTGATAAGATGAAACAGCTATATCATTTTCCAATGTTGTCTTCTGGAAGCATGCCAACCTTTAGCATCGCTTTTGAAAATTCAACTAAACGTCATAATTCCTAGATATGTATATCTCCTTTCTATTGAGTTTAGGAGCACATCAAATTTTGAAACATTTCATGTATAAGCATCTTGATGTAATGGACAAGTACGTCATTTTCAAACTTTTTATATGGATACACAAAAATATATAACCTCGGCAATTGTTATAATTGGATAGAGGCTCTGTATATGTTGTTAGAGACGGCAAAGCATTTATGTAAGGAGTGGTAATTTTCAGAAAATTTACGGAAAATGCGTCCATGTTTCAATTAGTCCGGCGGCTTCATTCGACATGAAAATGCATTACGAGACAATATGTTACGTTATCATTTGAAACATATGTACCAATGAATTCATTCAAAGTGGGCGCAGATCATCTATTCGGCTTGAAATTCATTTACATCTATTTACTGGAATCACATTTATTTTGATTTGGCTTTTACACTGATCATACATGTATGCCTTTAATTCCAATCCATTGCATATATTTCTCATTTCACAGCATATATGCAGTATGTAGAAAATATTCATACATGCACTAATGATACCTATTCACATTTTATATGTTATATTTCTTTTCATTGTGCTATAGCAACGATGCAACCGCCAACAACAACTGTCACTCCTTTGGTAACTTCGGTAAAAACTGTACTTTTTTCTTGTCAACTATATTAGACAAAAATCACCAACGCCAACATTGTCCACTACACAACAAGTTTCTGCTATCACAACACCTTAAAGTGAGTTATTATTTCTGATTGGTATTTTGTTAGAAACTTTAATTATAATCAATTATAATGACGAATTTAACTAGACACCAAAGTTTGATACGATTTCTTCATTTGTTGGTATCTTGCCTATAGGTCTAAACAACAAGAATAAGTTATGTTCGACTAACACTTTTTGGAACAAGAATCATTTTTTCATTGTCAAATTTTAGTTTTGTTTGTAATCTTTGTATGAAAAACATTAAAAATCTTTATAAAATTCGCGTTTCATTCCGACACAGATATATCTATATATTAGAACATATTGCTCAATTCAACACTTCAGACAAATATCCCGTCTTTATATGTTAAATGTTTACTAACTTCAAATAAAATAAAATTAACTATTAATCTACCAAGTTTCAGCTTTTAAGTTATTAGGTTGTTATAAATTTTATACTCTTCATGTTACACTCTTTAGAATCGAGCTAATAATTTTTCTGTTAAATATTCATTTACATTTTGTGTCTATTATGATGTCTGTCTGTGAGGTAGAAATAAAAGGACAATGTATTGTGTAGTCAGTCAGTCCAAGTGAGAGTTGACACAATAGCTGCGTGTAACAGTTCAAGTTGTAGTTATTAAGAAATCTTCTTGTATGTCATCTATTTTCTATTGGATGAAAATTGTTTTTATAAGAAAATGAACTATAAGAAAAAGAAAAATAATTGTTGTAAATCACTTCAACAATTTCTGGAATATAAAAATTTGGGATTTAGACTTTCTTCCTTTCATTTTCTTTTTCTTAGTAGATAAGTTAAATAGATTTACAAGGTCAAGTTTTCATCCCCTTAACTTTCTACATACCATTTATTTCTTTGAATTTTTGTAGGTTAAGTAGGTGTCACTATGTGGACTTTTAAAAATTTGATTTCAACAGGACATACTTCTACATTTAGAATTCACAGAGAGTTGAACAACATTTTTAATAATTAGAATCTTTAAAGATACTGTAGACTTGTCCTTTTCTACCTATCACCCCTAGTAACAGAACAGTCTATATCATATGTCTACGTACAGAAAACTTCGACCAATAAAAACTGTACTAGGCAAATCAACAAATCTCATTGGTTAACGACACAATAATCTGAAAGTTTCACATGCAAAGCAAAATTGCGCCAAAACTTCATTGATCCAATTTTGGACTTGCAAAACATATAAAAGAAAACGCCGACTGACCAAAGCAGTCAGAGACAAACATCCACAGAGAAACTGCCAACATACTCCACGTCACTCGAAATCACGATTTTACCACGCAAAAGTACATCAATGCTGACTCACTTGCAATTTAAACTCGACCAACTCTGTGGACATCAAATCGCAAACCTAAAACAACTTTGCTTATCCAAAGTGAATTATATTCACTACATATTAAGTAAAAATTGACATTCAAATGATTCCGAAATATTACAGTCAAAGGTAGATCACTCCATAAGAACTCATCCCAAAAACACTTAATATCGACATTTTTAATATTAACACAAATCCAGAAAGACGGTAAATGAACATACAAATACTAAGAGAGACATACCGAAACCTAAAATATCACACACACTTTGCCATAGTAACATATACCAAAATATACTGTATATATATTACTTTGAATTGTATATAAATGTTTTGTTGGTTTCTAAATTGAATATGTCTTGTTTTTGATTTTATTTAAAATTTGTTTATTTATTTGTTTGTGGATGCAGAAAGTCACGCAACCTACACGAATTCCTTCTGATTCTCTCAATTACAATTAATAAATTCTGCACATCCCCAACAATACTAATGATTTTAACATGGAAATTTCTGTGATCTACAAGGTTCAATCGTTCTGGTGTATTGTATATCAGCCATGGGAGACTGAGCATTCATTCTAAGTATAACCCAAGGTAGTAGTTGAGATAGACATATTGAGAAAATCAACCCACATATATAGTCAAGTGAGATAGATTCATATTCCATGAATTCTTGCATCATAGTTAATCTCTGCTGCTCCTGATTTTGCCACTTGCCAAAGGCATCGCTTTTCATGAAAGTGTCTTGGCATCACTGCTTATGGCCTACTTAAGATCACCTGTTATGGTGTTCTATCATTAATACCAACCTGGTTGCATCTGTCTTCATGCATGAAATCAGCATTGGCTTTATAGTGAATCAGTGGCTCAGAAATACTGTATAAAATTTGTGTTTCAAAGCATAATGTAAACTACATAATTTTTATTTTATTTGATATGAACCAATGGATAAATGTTAAATTTAGGTTAAATTTTTCTGTTAGAAATGGTAAATTTAGGTTAAATTTGTTGAACAAATGTTAAATTTAGGTTAAATTTAACTGTTATAAATTCTAAAAAGAAGATGTAGTACATGATGCATGAGAGACTTTTTCCAGAATTTTGTAGCCCAAAGCTAGAAGTGTATCTCCTAAGTTGACATTAATTGCACAAGTGGTTGGAAGATCTCTAGACAGATGCTAAGCTCTCCATATTGATATTTGTAATTGCAGGGTCTTGCGTGTGAATAAACTTTTATTCCACATATTATAAATATTCAGTTCAGTTCATATAGAGCTCATCCTGAGTATGACGATAAACTACATCTGTGTCCTGGGTAAGACGA